TTGACATCTCTCACACATAAAACCGTAAGAGAGAAATAAAATATCTGTCTCTGGGCGAAAATAAAGCTTTGCCTCCCTCCTGATCTATAGGATATAAAATAAAGCCATGGCTTTGATAGTGGCTTTTCCTTAGACCGGAGTTGCTTTTGCACACACGGAGACAATGAAGATGGATGAGCCGGGAGCGCTGCATCCTCCGGGGGTTCGCTTCACCCTCTTTTTTTATAGCCCCCCCTCGCCCCCTCTACCTCTCCACTTTTCTTTCTTTTCTCTTTTATTCGCCTTTTATCTGCCCTTTAAGGAGTGAGGGATCCCTCTCGGCTGTCCCACAGCCGCAATCCCCGGCGGGCTCTCCCCGGAGCCCCGCGCTGCCCCCGGGCCCCGCTCCCGGCCGGGCTCGGGGACCCCCCCGGGCCACCCCCGGCCCCTTCCCGGCCACTCTCCCGTCAGTCAAAGGCAGAGCCGCACACCTCGGATTTGTAATTATTTATTAACCATATTTCCCATAAACAATGCATGAGCTCGGAGTGTAAGCGACAACATTTAGCGACGTGGGAAGAAACCCGGGAGGGCTAATCACGGGGGAGGGGGGGAAGGAAAATAAATAAGGAAAAGGAAAATAAATAGAAAAGAAATAAAAGAAAAGGAAAAGGCGAGCGGAGCCGGGTGATGTTTACCCTCAGCATCGACCCGAGTGTGGCAGGATAAACTGGGACCTTCTAATACATAATTTAAAGATCTTTTTCTTCTTTTTTTTTCTTTTTTTTTTTTTCTTTTTTTTCCAAGCTCTTTTAAAACAAACCTGGGGATGGATCCTGTCCAGCCGTGGGGTTTATTTTGCGGGGATGTTCTACAGGCTTAATTACATCTTAACTTCAATATTTGGATAGTGCATTAACCGCATATATATTTAATCAGGCGGAGGCGCTCTTTCTGCGGGGGAAAGTGCTGGGGACGGGGGGAGAGGTGTGACCCCCACCTTCCCTGCGGGCTGTCCCTGCACAGCTTCCCCGGGAGAGGAGAGATCGCGCTGCAGAGCGATGCGGAGGGGTCGGAGCTGGAGCTCGGGGCCTCCCCCGGCCCGCCGGGGAAACTCCCGGGCACCGCTCCGAGCCCGGCATCATCCCCGAGCCCAGCATCATCCCCGAGCCCAGCATCATCCCCGAGCCCAGCATCATCCCCGAGCCCGAGCGCCGCCGTGGAGAAAGGTTAAAAAGGAGGGAAAAAGAAAAACAGATTAAAATGAATGAGAAAAGAAGGAAACTCGGTGCTGTCGGGGGTATGGATGTGGTGGTAAGCGTCTGCCAGCGCGTGGGAGGGAAGTTTTTGGGAGGCTGGTGATGCGGGGATGCTCCACAACCAACGGCGGTGGTCCCCGGCCAGGGGGCTCGGAGGTGGTGCAGCACCGGGACCCCGTAAAGGAGAGAGAAATCCAATTACTGAGAGCAGCGGTGGCCAAAGGGGATGATAAACAGGGTGATGTTAAACTAAAAAGACGGGAACGACACCCATAAAATGCAAATGTGAACTCGCCTGAAAGGGACTTGGATTTTTCCTTCGGTATTAGATTTAAAATTAATTTGAGTTTGGGTTTGTTTGCCGTTTTGGAGTTTTTTTACTCTTTGTTTTCCCTCTCTCTTTATTTGGGTCTCTTTCACTATTTTACTTACATTCTCTATTTTTAAAATTTTCCACCCCTCTTTTAATTTCCCTCCTTTTCTTTTTTTTTTAGTTTTTAAATTTCCGTTTTTAAAACATCTGCTGATTTCCATCTTTTCTTTCTTTCCTTTTTTACTCTCTTAATGTCCCTCCTTTCCAGCACTGGGACCAGCCGGGGTTGCTCTGGAACATCCCCGCGAGGTTCGGGTGAGCTCGGCCCCGCTTGGGGCCTCGAGCCGGGAACGGACCTGGGCGAATTGCAAAAGACAGTGAAAAACAAAAAAATCCCTCCCGTCCCAAGAGCGGGCGCTGTGAGGGGGCGGCACACGCCGCCCCTCGGGGGTTTTCCCCCCACCTCGGGCTCCCGGGGCTGCCCCACTCCCGGGGATGGTGGGGGTTTGATTTTCGGATCTCGCTGGAGACGAGCGAGGGCATTTTGGCCTCTCAAACGCCTGCTCTGGCTCGGGGTCCCCGCTGGGAGGGGCTGAGGCAGAGGGGCCACCCCTCTGTCCCCACTGTCCCCTCGGGCTGCGCCGCCTCCTCTCCCGAGCGGGGCTTTGGGGGTTCGGGCGCACCGAGCCCCGCCGGGACCCGCAGCGGTGCGGGGGTACCCGGGACCCCGCGGGGAGGGGCTGGGCACGGCCTGAGCCCCCCGGGGAGCGGGGGAGAACCAGATGCTTTCGCTAACGCCTGGGAAAGGAGAAAAAAAAAAAAAAAACCGCTGTGAAAAAGCGGTGCTTGATGGACACGAGATGCTCATCTCCTTCTCCTCATTCATCCCCACCGACACATGGCACCGGGGGCCGCGGGGAGCGCTCCCCTGACGGCAGCCCGCAGCTGTCGCTTCCCGGGCGGCGGAGCGGGGCCGCCCGCCCGCTCCGGCCCCGCGGCTCCGCATGAGAAGCGCCCATGTGCGGGGCACCGGGAGGGGCGAGCCCCGGCCCCATCGATCCCCGCCGGCGGCCCCGAGCGAACCGACAGCTGCGCGGGGGGAGCGCCCGGTGCGCGCCCGGCGGGGGCAAGGCTGGCAGCGAGGCTTTCAAACACCCGCAGGAGCTCCGAGGGGACGGCTCGGCCCCAGGATAGTCCTGGAACCGCCTCTCCCGGCCCGGCCAGGCTTTGCATCCCCGCCGGTCCCGGCTGCCCCCCGCGCGGAGCGGGTTTGCTGCCTTCCTTTTTCTTTCTGTCTTCCAATGTATGCCTTCCCCGCTTTTTATTTATTTTTTCCTTTTTTTTTTTTTGGTGTCCCCTCAAGGACGAGGAAAACAGGCGTGAAAGAGAGCGAGGGCGGTGGGTACGGGCGGGGGCCTCCGCCAGCCCCGCGCCCAGCCCCGGCTCTCGGTCGTGTGTGTAACCCCGGGCACGCTCGGACCCTTCCATCCGCCCTTCCCCTCCTAATTCCCCGCCCGGGCTCAGCCCGGGGGCACCGGGAGAGGGGCGGGCTCCGGGGCCGGGAGGGGCCGGTGCCAGGCGGTGACACCTCCCCGGAGCGGTGGCTCCCGACGGGCAGCAAAGCGCGAAGGAAAGAGAAACCTCGTCCCTCCGCACCGCCCCGGTACCGACCGGCCCCTGGAAGGTAAAAGCGAATTAATTTTTATTTACAATAAAAAAAATTAAGAAGAAAAATATAAAGAAGGTACACGGCGGTGGCCGGTGCTCCTCGGTTCCGCTGCGAGCGCCGGTAACGGCAGCACCGCGAAGTTACCGACTCCTCCGCCGTGTCCTCGGCGCTCGGGTGGCCCCGGGCCCGCCGCCTCCTCCCCACCGGTGCTGCCCCGCCGGAGGGTCCCGGGCCGCAGTTCCGGCCCCACCGCACCGCTCCTCCCGGGAAATGCAGCCGGCCCCGGGTTCTCCCCGACTCCGCGCCCCGCGGATCCCGGAGGATCCCCGCGCCCTCGGGCCCCGCCGCCTGCCGTGGGGGAAGCCCCGCTGAAGCGGGGTCTCGTTTGTCGCCGGTCCCCAGCGAGGCGCCGGCCACCGGCCCGCTCTAGGGGATCCGTGACCCCGCGGGGGTGCCAGACCCCATCGAGCGGCCGCGTCTCCCCGCGCTCCCTCGCACCTACCGCCGCATCGCGCTCGGGGGCCGGCACGGCCGTCGGCGGTCGGTCGGTCGGTGTGTCCATCGGCGTGTCGGTGTGTCCGTCGGCGTGTCGGTGTGTCCGTCGGCGTGTCGGTGTGTCCGTCGGCGTGTCGGTCGGTGGCTCGGCGGGCCGGCGGGCGGAGGCGTTGGCGGCGCCCCGGCGGCTCTATAAAGGGGCGCGGACGCCCCGTCCGGCGGCGGCGCGGCGGGCGCGGGGGGGCGGCGGCGGCGGCGCGGATTGGCCGCGGCGGGCGGTGACGCGGGCTCGCGGTGCATAAGGCTGCGGCGGCGGCGGCGCCGGGACCATGCAGAGCCCCTGCGCGGCCGGACGGCGGGGCCGCCCCTCTGCCCCGCGCCCTCCGCCCGGCCCGCCCGGCCCGGGCCCTGCGCTCCGCCACCGCCGGGCCATGCCACGCCGGGGACACGGGCGGCCGCCGCGGGTAGCGATGCGCGGGGGTAGGTAGGACGGACGGACTGACGGACGGACGGACGGACGGACGGACAGAGCCGGGCGTGACGGTGCCGCCGAGACGTCGAGGGAGAGAGAGAGAAAGAGAGAGAGAGAGAAAAAGAGAGAGAGAGAGAGAACGAGAGCGAGCGGCGGAGCGAGGAGCGGCGGAGCGTGTCCCCGTCCCCGCGTGTCCCCATCCCCGCGTCAGGACGCAGGGCGATGTCGCCGCGGCAGCAGCCACAGCCCGTCTGACCGCCACCGCCTCTCCATGTCCCGGCTCGTTATTTATTATTATTATTATTATTATTATTGTTATTATATTTTTTCCTCCTTTGATTTCTCATTGGGAAAAGCACTTTGACTCCTGACTGCTCTACCTCAGACCTTAGAGAAACTCATCACGCTCGCTTTTTTTGGCGGTTTTATTTTTAATTTTTTTAATTTTTATTTTTTTGAGCGCCGAACTTTATAGCCGTTATTGTTTTATTGTTACTATTATTATTACTATTACTATTATTATTATTATCCGTGTGGTTGGTAGCGGCCGGGATCCTGCGGCTGTGTCGAAGCGCTGGGCAGTGGGGGTTCTCCTGTGTACCCCTCCTAGGACACTCGAACGAAGATTTTTTTTTTTATTCTTCCTCCCTTTCTTTTTCTCCTCCTTCACTTCTCCACGGCTTTTAAAACATACGTACACAAAAACAAGAAAAAAAGAGAGAGAAAAAAAAACAAAACAAAAAGCATACATTCGCCGGTGTTGTCGTCTTTCTGAAAAAAAAAACAAACAAAAAAAACAAACAAAAAAAATTGTTGTTTTTATTTTTTTTCCTTGGTACCTGGGAAACCGCTGCCCCCTCAGAACTAACCAAAGACAATGGTTCACTGTGCAGGCTGCAAAAGGCCGATCTTGGACCGGTTTTTGTTGAATGTACTGGACAGGGCTTGGCATGTGAAGTGTGTTCAGTGCTGTGAATGTAAATGCAATTTGACAGAGAAATGCTTTTCGCGAGAAGGCAAGCTTTACTGCAAAAACGACTTCTTTCGGTGAGTACCGGCCTCCGCCTGCCCCCGCCGCTCCTCTCCATTCGTTTTCCACCTCCATTTTTTTCCCTTTATTTTTGTTGTTTTCCCCCGTTGTCAGCGGCACCCACGAGCGCCTCTTCCCTCCCCGTGACCCGCGAACATCTCAAATCGCGGCTGTTTCTCCCACTGATCTCGGCCCGGGGGTCGGGCCCCGGGCCGGGCCCGTTGATGCCGCCGCTCTCCGCGTCCCCCGGCCGAGCTCGAGTTGCCCAAAGTTCCCTCCAAACTCTCGACCGGCGGCGCTGCGGGCCGGGCCCGGCTCGGGGAGCACGGGCAGTGTCCCGGGCCCGGTGCGGCGGAGCGGGGCTGAGCCCGCCGGGCTCTCCGCGGCCGTGAGCGCGGCGCTGCCCGGCCCGGAGCCCGGCGTTGTTCCCGTGTGGGGAAGGCCCGGTGCGGGCTCTCCTCGGGTCCAGCACATCTCAGCCACCGGAGCCGGGCCGGCCCGAGGGCAGCGATCCTCCGCCGGTGGATGGATGGGTGGATGGATGAAGAGGGAGGTGGGGACCGACGCTCGCTCGCCGCCGCTCTCCCCGCGCATCCCGGCCCGCTGCGGCGCCTCCAGCAGCCCCGGGCTCGGAGCGGTCGCCGGTGCCGCTGTCCCGCCGGGCCCCGCCGCCGCACACCGGCGCTAAGGGCAAGGACCGGCTCGGGGCCGGGGTGGCCGCGGAGCCCCCGCCGCACACCGGCACAACGCCCGGCCCGGCCCGGCCCTCGGCCCAGAGCCCCGCCGCCGCTTCTCCCGGCTCACGGGGACCGGCACCGCTCCGAGCTCCAACGCTTCTCCGCGGGAATGGGCCCGGCATTGCTCCGGTCCCGGTTCCCAGAGCCCCGCGGGGCTGAGCGGGGCACGGGAGGCCTCCGGCCCTGGTACGTGTCCGGCCCCGCCGTTCCCCGGCTCCCCTCGCCGGCCTTGCCCGCACCGGCGGCTCCTCCGGCAGCAGCGCGACCGAGGCCGGGACCGACACACAGAACATGTAGAATTTCTGCGAGCTGTTGCTCAGAGCCTCCTTTCTGAAGGTGTCGGGGCGCGGGGACACCCGGGCAGCGCAGCCCCGGCGTTCAGCGATCCCGAGCGGTCCCGCGCCCGCTGCCCAGGCCGGGTTTGATTTTTATTTTTAAAAGCTGTGATATCGGGAAGCAAGAGCGCTCTGCAGGGATGCTGTATTTTATCGGATCCCGTTTTGCACGGGCGAGCAGGGTGTGCGGAGGCCGCGGCTCGGGCCCCGCGCTCCGCGGGCGCTGCTGACCGCTGCCCGGCCTCTCTCCGCAGGTGTTTCGGGACCAAGTGCGCGGGCTGTGCCCAGGGCATCTCCCCCAGCGACCTGGTCCGCAGGGCGCGGAGCAAAGTGTTCCACTTGAACTGTTTTACGTGTATGATGTGTAACAAGCAACTCTCCACCGGCGAGGAGCTCTACATCATAGATGAGAACAAGTTTGTCTGCAAAGAAGATTACCTAAATAACAGCAATACTGCCAAAGAAAACAGCCTGCATTCAGGTGAGGGAGCGCGGCCGGGGTGATGAGGGCGGGGATGCGCTCAGCACCGGCTACTCCTTGGGATGAGACGCTCCTTTCGTTCCTCCTCCTTTCTTCTCTTCTTTCTCCTGTCTTCTCCTTTCTCCTCTCCCTCCTTTCTCCCTTCACTCTCCCATCCCTTTCTTTTCCTCTCCTTCTTGTCTCCCATTTTTTTTTCTTCTTCCCTTTTTCCTCTCCCTTCTTTCTCCTCTCCCCCGGTCCTACCGCGGCCCGTTCCTCGCCGTCGGTATTTTCCCCCACGGCCGAGCTTGACCCGGGTTTGTTGTTCCCCAGCCACCACCGGCAGTGACCCCAGCCTGTCCCCCGACTCTCAAGACCCCTCCCAGGACGACGCCAAGGATTCGGAAAGCGCCAACGTGTCCGACAAGGAGACGGGGAGCAACGAAAACGACGACCAGAACCTGGGGGCCAAGCGGCGGGGACCCCGCACCACCATCAAAGCCAAACAGCTAGAGACTCTGAAAGCCGCCTTCGCGGCCACCCCAAAACCCACCCGGCACATCAGGGAGCAGCTGGCACAGGAGACCGGCCTCAACATGCGGGTCATCCAGGTACCGCCGCCTCCGGGCACCGGGCACGGCTCCGGGGGATGCGGGGGAGAGGAGGGGCCGGTGCCCGGCACTCTCCGCACTGCGGGGCCCGGGGAAGCCCCGGCAGCCTTTGAAATCGTTATTACCGAGGCTTCCCGGGGCTTCCCGGTTGCCCAGCCCCGGCCGTTCGGCGGAGACAGAGCCGCGGGTTTATTCGCAAAAGTCCTAAAGAAGCTGCAAACAGTATCGAAATTAATAACCAGAAATGTGAGGGGTTAATGGGTAAATAAGAATGACAACGCGCTGGAATTATTAAAAGGTTTATAAACCCGCAGCGCCGGGGTAATGGGGGGTTAAAGGACCATTACAGACGAGGTTAGATTGGAGAGGCTCAGTGTGAGGGTAATTAGCAGTAATCTTGTCAGGGTAATAAGAATTAACTCAATCATTCTTGACCCGCGGTCGGTGGTGAGCGGGGCCGTCGTCACGCGTGGGTTCGGCCACGCTTGGAGCGCGACTCGGGGCGCATCGGGCAACAGAGACCGGGAAAGGGGAAAAGCGCAGCCCCGGGATGGAGATGGGGATGGGGATGGAGGGGAAGGGGGGAGCGGGGCGGCGGCGGCGCCTCTCGGGCTCCCGGGAGCGGGACCCGAGGCTCCCGTGGCTCCCGTGACCGGCGCCTCTCCCGCCGCCCCGGCAGGTCTGGTTCCAGAACCGGCGCTCCAAGGAGCGGCGGATGAAGCAGCTGAGCGCTCTGGGCGCCCGGCGACACGCGTTCTTCCGCAGCCCGCGCAGGATGCGGCCGCTCGTGGACCGGCTGGAGCCCGGCGAGCTCATCCCCAACGGGCCCTTCTCCTTCTACGGAGGTGGGTACCGCTCCCCCCGCGCTGCCTCGCTCCGTGCCGGGATGCGGGGCCGTAGTCCCGGGGCCGTCCCGCTCCGTTCCCCGCCGCCCATGGCGGGACTCCCCGCAGCCGCTGCCGGCGGGATCCCGGAGTTCTGCCGCTGTTCCCCCGGTGTTTTCGGGAGCGCCGCTTTGTGTCGGTGCTGTGCGGGAAGGGGGTGCCGGTGCTGCCGGAGCCCGGCCAGCTCGGTCACGCGTTTCTCCTCGGCTTCGTGTGTGACACCCAGAGCTCCCCCAGCCGCGCCGCCCGTGTCCCCTCTCGGGTACCTGCCCGCCTGTTACCTTCCCTCTGTCTCTCTTTGTCCGCCAGATTATCAGAGCGAGTATTACGGCCCTGGAAGCAATTACGATTTCTTCCCGCAAGGACCGCCTTCGTCTCAAGCGCAGACCCCCGTGGATCTCCCGTTCGTGCCCTCCTCGGGGCCGTCAGGGACCCCGCTGGGGGCCATGGACCACCCCCTGCCCGGACACCACCCCTCGAGTGAGGCTCAGCGCTTCACTGACATCATGTCGCACCCCCCGGGAGACTCGCCCAGCCCCGAACCCAACCTGCCCGGGTCCTTGCACTCCATGTCCGCAGAAGTTTTTGGTCCCAGCCCCCCATTTTCGTCGATATCCGTCAACGGTGGTGCTAACTACGGCAATCACTTGTCCCACCCTCCAGAGATGAACGAAGCAGCTGTGTGGTAGCTTTAAAACAAACTGGGTCTAAGTAAGTGATGATCATCTAGTCTGCTTATTGTTATGGTGTACAGAAATGAATTCATATAACATCTCTCCCGCCCTAAGACAATTTTACCTTGGGAACGAACTGAATCCAATCGCTCCAAGGCAAGCTTTGCTCTAGACCAGGACAATCTCCATGTTATGGTTGTATCAAACAAGCGAGGGGACTTTTTTGTACCATTGACAAAGAAACTGGGGAAGCTGTACAGTAAAAGTGCTGCCATTCCGTAGGATGGCGTAAGTTTGATTACCCTGTTGGATGTCATCCTAAGAGCCACAATCCTTAGAAACTTCTCGTTTAAAAAAAAAAAAAAAATTAAAAAATAATTGAATGAAGGAGAGGTCAAAGAAAAGGGGAAAAAAAGCTTCAAGAACTCTCTATAGCGTTCCCGGTTAAGGATGGTTCTGGCATTATGAATCTGTTTGTTCATTTTTGTCTCTCAGAAAGTTCAACAACAAGAAACTCTTTTTAGCTTCGGCCATTTCAGCCTGCTGACGATCAGGTGGGACAACTTTTCCTTTTTCCTTTATTTTTTTCTTTTCTGTTTTGTTTTCGGTTGTTTTGGTTTGGTTTTGTTTGGTTTTTTTCCAAAAATAGCAAATACTAAATGTTAAGCCCTCAGCACCAACTCTTCTACCTTCACAAAGCTACACGTACAAAACCTCCTCATCATAGCAAAGGTCACCACCCAGACCTCTAACGAGAATGACTTGAAAAAACAAACAAACAAAAAGTATTCTACCTTCACAGAGAGAGAAAAGCTAAACAAAAAGACTCTATTGAACTAAAAACAGTCAACTGTTTACGTCTAATGTTAAATTCAGGAGCTCAATGTTTTACTAATAAATCCTGTTTTAGAAAAACCTCTTGTTCAAAAGCAAAAGATTTTGAGCAGCCAACCAAAATAGTTCATTTTCTTTTCTGTAGATGTTCTAACAGATTGCAGGGCTTGTGGTTCACTGTGCTAGTTTGTAAAAGGTGTTGTTTACAGAAGGCAAAGAAAAAAAAAACCCACAAAACCCAGACAGTTGCCAAATAAAGTAAATATATAGCACAAATACTGTAAGGTGCTTTGCACCAGCAACCCGAGAAGGTGTTTAAAAAGTGTTACAAGGTTAAAAAGAAAAAAAAAAAAGACAAACAAACATCTTTGCTAATTTTTAGTCCTGTTGAACATTCATGGAATTGTTAATATGACTTATATAGACCCACACAGGTTTTATTTTTGTGTCTTTAAAATAAAAGTCCAAAATATTTAAATTTTATGGTCAAATATGCAGTCAACAGCTGCTACTTTTTTCTTTATATATTAAATTTCTCATATGTCTTTTATTGTTCTAATGAACCTAAGCTTGTGTGACCTCCAGTGCATATTAGACCATTCACTGTATGAAAGAAAACATGTTGGATAAAATTTGTGCGTTTTTAATAAAATTAGAAAATCTGATGTTTAGATAACTTGTGTTTCATTTGATGTTTTAAGCAATTTTTGGAAAAATTGATTCTCTTGAGTAAAATAGCCCTGAGAAGGAATAATCCACTCTGCTGCTAATCCTGAGCAGCTCTTTGGCTCTGGTGGAAGTCTAAGCCCTGGTGTCGATGCAGACAGCGGCCAGAGGCAGCTCCAGCCTTTCTTTCCATCTCCAGACTCAGTTGCTGAAGTCCAAATAACCTGTTTCCACTGCATTTTAAATTTTAAAATTCAGAAATAATCAAATTATTCAATATCTTCAGTTATTCGTGCTCTGTGCTAAGAGAGACCATTTGAAATGCTGATTTTATGCATAAACAAAAACGTGTTGTAAACATAAAACGCTTGCAAAGATACAGTTTGCAATTGATCCGGTTTTAGTTAATTCTCCAGAGGTAATTTTACTGGTTTTTCTCCTAATTGGATGGTTTGGATGCAGCATAACCTCAGCATCCTGAATGTAATTTTAATCCTTTTTTCTTAGAGCTGAGGCAGACTCGATGCTTTGGCGGCGTTTGGTCGTTCTGGAGTTCTCTAAAGGGCAGCGGGGGAGAATATTTTGCTTTGCCCTCGGTACAGCCTCATTCTCTTGGAGAAAAATGAAACAAAAAAAAATCCTGGAGCCTTGCAAAATGTCAGATTTCAAGTTTTAATTATCAGCCGTGGCAGAATCCTGAATACTCAGTTCTTCAAAAGCAAAAGTCCCGCTGATTCCGAGAGGACTTTGAGCTGTGTTAGGCACAAAGAGTCGGGTTCGGTTCTGCAAAGTCTCTGGTTTGAATGTTCCACCTGCTGGGTTAATGGAAAGGGATGAGCTGGGATTGCATCTCCTCCTTCCTCTCTCGACTCACCGGGGCTTGGGCTGGCTTCTCTTTTATTTGATTTAGACACAGAATTTTATGCTAAACCCCAGACTTCCCCATTCCCAGTGATTCCATTATTTCTCTCATTGGACTGGATGTGGGAAAAGAACCAACTCCAAATGCTTTTAAGTTGTATAGTTTGTAATTTTCAATGGTGATTTTTGATTTTGTTCGCTACCTAATTTCTATGCCCAGTAGAGGGGCCACCTAGATGAAGCAATAGTTCACTTTAAACACAAAATGTCTTATATAATAACAATATAAAGATAAAGAAAACTATCTACAAGGGATCTGTTAGTGTTTCTAAAAAAAATAATTCATGCTTTATTAAATACAGGGGAGACTTCTTAAACTCCTGGACTCCGTGTCTAACTCATTTGTTTGTCTTTTGTGCTATTGCCATGTTTTGTTGCTCTGGTTTGCATTTATACAAGTGGAGGAATGGGTGATTTATTTATTCCAAACTTCTACTTATCTGGGAAAGATAAATACTGCTGTTTGTGCTGCTGGGCTGGGCTGCTGCTTTATTGTTGAATCAATGATTTTAAATGAGGATTTCACCAAATAGGTTTGTTTTGTAGGAAATTTTGAGGGGTTCTTCCCTTTCTTTCTTTCTTTCTTTCTTTCTCTCTCTCTCTTTCTTTTGGTCCTTGTACAGTTTATTCTGTGTTGATTTAGACAACGACACAGCTGCGTTTAGATCAGTTTAGGTTGTAAAAAAGTGAGTTTGTCCTTTTGTGGCACTCCCATCGCTTCCTTGGGGCTCTGCTGGGTTTGGGGGAGCCCAGGAGCCGTTCCCATGGCCGAAGCCGAGCCCCAGCCCTGTGGAGATTGGAATTCTGAGCTCCTCAGAGCGAGCTCGGTGCGTCTGAAGCCCCTAATCCAACAACAATTGCAGTCAAAACTCCTTTGGAAAGCATTGTCACGTTGGGTTCTTGTAAGTCCTTGTTTACAAGAGCATTTCCATTAACTCCAGCGGCGTACCCGTGGATGGATGGATGGATGGATGGATGGATGGATGGATGGATGGATGGATGGATGGATGGATGGATGGCTGGCTGTGGGAGAAGGACCTGGAGGGATCTCAGGATCCTGAGCTGCCTCTGCCGTGCAGTGCCTGGCTCTGTGTCCGTGCAAGGCCTCCCCAGGAGCCTTTAGGGAAGTAACTGCTCTCTTCTGATCTCTCCTGCCTCTCCTGCTGCTGTTCCGTGACCTCGGGGCCGTGTCCCAGTGAGGGCAGCGGGTGATGCTGCCCCTGCCCCTCCTGGCGCTCACCTGGCTTGGGCTGGCCGGGGATGCTGGGCCGTGCGAGGGGCCAGGCTGAAGACCTGTGCGCAGCCACGTGTCAGACCTGCTCCAGCCCCAGGAGAAGGGCTCCAGGCACCTCCTGTGAGTACTGTCTGCATGGAGCTGCTCTGTGTGAAGGGGATTTTTGCAGGTTGATCAAAGTCTGTAAAATGCCGTGAGTTTCCAGCAGCCAAACCCCTGCTTTTGGCCCAAATGTCCCACACTGTTCCCACCGAGGCTCCTCTCTGCCCATCCCCTCCCTCCCCAGGCTCTGCTGGGATCTGTTTGCTTGGGGATGGAAAGGGATTTGGGAAGGTCTGTGTCCCAGGAGTAAAGATGTATTTAAACGATGATTTATAGACAAATGATTTGTGATATTTTAAAGCCTGTACTCAGGTAATGAGCGATGGGTAGAGGATACGAATTGATAAATAAATATAATTTAAAATATCAGTGGTGATTGACATACTTTTGCCATCCTGGGCAATGGCAGATATTGCAGTGTCCTCTCTGGAATGGTTCTTTTTGCTATAGTCTGGATTTTTTATCTTGAATAACTGTGTTGTCTTTAAGCTTTGTATGTTCTTACAATATGAAATTGAAGCATTTTCAATCTCCCTTTCTGTTCCTTCCCGTAACAGATAAATTCATATGAACTGAGTTTAAACAATTGATACAAATCCTTCTGTGCTGGTGAATTGGTAACAAGGAATTGTGACTCTGGAGCAGGTTTTGGAAGGTCCTTTCTTTGTCTCTGCCATGGCACTGGGGTGCTCAGCATTCTTCATGCCAACAAAACACCCATGAAGTTATAAATTAAATTAGTGGGCCCATTAAAATATATTTTGATATAAATCTGGGATTTTATTTGTTGATAGTACTTGTGGTGGTTTAGCTACAGAGCTGGTGCTTGGAAAGTGGAGTTTGGTGTGGCCCAGAGAGTTGCTCACTCATTAAATGCAGAATTGTAACACAGGGATTGGAGAGGAAATGTGGCCCTGTGGTGAGGTGGCCTCCAAATCCCTAAATCCGTGTTCCTGGGGTTGCTGGAACCGTGGTTGTGGGGTGTTCTTGGGGTGCTTTTAGGGTGTCCCTGCAGGGCTGCTGCCCTTGGCACACGGGGTCACAGTGCTTGGCTTTGTTGGCATCTCGTGGTTTTGTTGTGGGAACGTCGCTTGGTGACACTGCTGGGACAGGGGGTGACTGGGCCCTCTCACAGCTTCTGCTCCAGGATGTCACCAAATTCAGGGACAGCTCTGCCTCGCTGCTGTTAGGGCACTGCTCACAGTTTGGAAATTGTAAGAATTAGGGACAAGAGAGCTGCTTGGTTTTACTCCAAGCTCCTCTCCTGAGGAATCTGACCCTGCTCAGAGGCTACAGGAATCACACGTGGTTTGGGAGAAAATCCTTGGCTCTGCTCACCCGGGAGCCCAGGCCTGTCCCAGGTCCCTGGACAGTGTGAGAATTGTGACACTGCACAGACTGAAACCTGGGCTGGAAACCCCCCCTGGGTTCCTCAGAGCCGGAATGAGAGGAATTCCCAGGGGTTGTGGGGAATTTCTGGGAGTGAAGCCCATGGGAGAGGCTGCCTCGAACACTTCCCTTGTGCCTGTCTGTGTGCTGGCATGGCCGTGCACAGGGGAGCACATGTGTGCTTTGCTTGAAAATCAGACATTTTGCTCCTTCTAAAACCAGTTTTTGTCTAGTTTTTAAATTGCCTTTGGGTGGCCTTTAAAATTCTTATCTGCTGGAAGCATCTTTGGGCTGTGCATCTCTTCAGACACACTCTGTTCCTTCTATTTTTCAATGTAGGAACCATTAAGGGTTGATAAAATCTTTAAAACAATTGTGTTTTTTGAATGAGGGATGGGTTAGGAATAGCAGAAGTACTCAAGTAAATAAAAGCACAGAAGAAAAATACTAATAAATATTTATAAGGAGAGTTTTTTATGTACATAATCTAAATTTTATGTAATTTGTTTTAGTGGATGGGGTTTGCTTGTGTTCCTTTCTTCTTCTCCCCAGCTTTTTCACTTCTTTTTTGTCTCCTTTTCATGGATAAATTGTGTTGCTGTTTTGAAAAGAAAATTTTAACTGAACTAGCATGACTGAAATGATAAAGGTCAGTTTGGAAAAGGACATTTGCTCGCCCAAGCGTTGACAAGATCAGCCCCAGCTGTGGCTATTTTTGGCCAGCACGAGGCCCTCTGTATATGGGTCAAATTTTGCTGTTGATGAGGTAACTCAATTAAATTCAGCAGAGGCGACTCCGGGGCGGGTAATTCCTGTGGATCTGGCTGGGAATGCCACTGGAAAGGGCTCCTGCAGCCCCCGTGGGGCCGGGGCTGAGCTGGGCGTCCCTCGCTGGCAGTGCCCGAGAGGCTCCGCGCTTCCTCCGCCGCCCACTCCTGTGTCCTGCTGAAGGAACAGCTCTAAAAGATGGATTCATATTATCAGCCTGTAATTATACAGACACTGAGTGTGGTACAGCCCTGCCCTGCCAAAGCTTCCCTCTCATCTGACAGCTCCCCAAAAGCTGCTGAGCCACAAGGATACGGCAGAGAAAGACACCGAGAGGGAGGAATTGGAAGGTTTTTTTCTAGCCCAGCCTGTCCCACGTTCCCTTGTTTATCTGCTCTGTGTTTAGGGTGTTAGTCCCATTTCAGCAAACAGGAATGTGAATCAAAAAAGTAAAATAAAGAGGGAAAATGCCAAAGAAATTATGTCAGTGAGGTTGATGGAGTTTTTAAACAGGCCAAGGGTTTTACTGAACCCACCGTGAGGCATAAAAAGCCTTTCATGAGCATCTTAAATGAAAATGTATCGATACAGTTTTTGTACAAATATTCCCCTGCTCTATTCTGAGTCCCAGGCATGGCAGCATGGTTGGAGGGCATGTGAACCAGAAATTAAAACCCAGCCCTGGAGTCTGATTTAATTACCCTGCTAAGTGAAAGGCAGAGGAGAGAGAATAAACAGCGGCGAAGGCGACTCTGTGGGTGAAATATTTTAACAATCCCCGACTTTCATAGGCTGCAGTTACTGTTTGATGTGGCTTTGTATTGACTGCATCTCCCCCTGAAAAATTGTGAATTAACAGGTCCTGTGGCTGTGGGAGTGAGGTTGGGGTGACCCAGTGGTGTGGGGTCCCCCCACACGTGAGCAGTTTTTGTTCTGTGCGGGTGTGAGTGATGGATGTGGCACAGCAGAGGAACAGGCGAGCTCTGCCAGGACCCCTGAGTTTACAGCTGTGTGGACGTGGATTTGAATGCATTGCTGGCTTTGGGATTTATATGGAGCAATTGTCCCATTAGTCTCAGTGGGTGAAATCCTGATCTCAGTGGCCTGAGTATCAAAAACGCTGCGACTTCAAGGAGCTCATTTTTTACTCCAAAGGACTAATGCAACTCACTTGTATTTTTTATTAATTCTACTGGGTCTGTTTTATTTAACCATCACTAAAAGCCTCTCTCCCTTCATTAACAGGGCAATCTATTATTTGTGAGGGTAGAAAATATCCCTTTTTCACTCTAAGAGCACAGAGGTTTGAAAATGCAATTATGCAGGGGAGTCTGGGCACTATTCTTTGGTTGTGTGAGTGGTTAGTTACTCAGAAGTAACTGCACAGGTAAGCACTTGTTCCTGCTACTTAACTTTCCACAGATTTATTTCTCCAGTCTCCTCCCTTTGTTTATGGTGGCATCTGAGAACAAAATACCAACAAACTCAAAGGGGGAAAAAAAAAGGAAAACCTAGAAGCAAGGCCAGGGAAGACACACCGTGTGTGTGTGTCTCCTGGTATATAAGTTTTCTGCTTTTTCAAACCATGTCTTAGTAAATAAATAAATAAATGAATAAAATAAAATAAAAATCGGTGTTTAATTTCTCATTGCTGGAGCAGAGGCAATCCCCCATCATCGATTATGCAGAGCATTAGAGCCATCCATCCTGCCGTGATAAAATAAATACAAACTACAAAACTGAGTTGGATTTTATGACGTTGTGTATTTTAAAGTTGGGGGGTGGGGGTTTGTCGTGAAAATGTGCGTTTTCAGTAAACACTGGGTTTTATATAAATCGAGCTTTATTTTGTCATCAAGGTACCCTGGCGGGGAGGGTCACAGCAGGGCTGAGAAGGAGAGGGCGATGTTTGGGTTTTTCCAGGCGGTGCCTGCCGGGTTTCTCCCCGGCTGGAGGCGATGGGAATTCCTGATATTCCTCTGCCCTCTGTAGGAGAAGCGCTCGCATGAGCCGTGCTGAGGGATGGATGCGGCTGCACCCCGGCACCGTTCTCCCGGCACAAATCACGTCCTGCTCGCTTTTGTGGCGTTTGAAGGCACCTCGGGAGCAGAGGAGACTGGAAGGCGGTGAGCCTCAGCCTGCTCAGGTTCGCAGGGGGCTGCTGGAACCTTCGCAGGTGGAATCCCAACGCTGCTGGATGTGGGAAGCCCAAATGCAGAGCCCCCACCTACATCTACAGCTCGGATTGGAGAGGCTGAGTGGGGCCCCTGCCCCCTTGGGACAAAATCCGTGCCAACCTCGACTGCTGGTCCCCAATTCCAGGCAATTCCTTGAGTTCTGGGGCCACCTCAGAAACACAGAAAGGGGCCGGGAAGCGGCTGTCAGGGCAAACCCAGAGAAGCTGTCCCTGCTCGGGCTCTCTGCAGGTCACGTCTGCATCGCTTGGCTGCTGCTCCTCGGCCAGAGTTTGATCCCAGGAGCCAAAGTTCCTGAATTCCCTGTGGCTGGTGTAACTCAGGTGTAACTCAGGTGTAACTCAGGTGTAAGGATCTATCTGTGTGCCTAACCTGAGAACCCGGCTTTGGGACCTCGCTGCTGTGGGAGGGACTCCAGCAGGCCACAGAATATTTAACATAGGGAGGGGAAAGAATTTATTCAGCTCTGCACCTCTGGAGTGGCTGAAAGAGTTCGTCGCTGGTTTAAAGCGATAGTTGTCATATTGTGCATTATTAATGGGATTTCGCTGCTGTGCTGCCGCTATCCGGCACCACGAGGCCGCGGCTCCCACAGCCGCGCTGCCCACACGGACCGGGAAAGCCCCGGGAACGGCGGGGGCCGAGGGAGCGGCGGGGGCTCGGGGGGCTCCCGGCTGGATCCCGGGTTCATTCCCGGTTTGATCCCGGGATCGATCCCGGTTGGATCACGGGCTCATTCCCGGTTGGATCCCGGTTGGATCCCGGTTGGATCACGGGCTCATTCCCGGTTCATTCCCGGTTGGATCCCGGTTGGATCCCGGTTGGATCACGGGCTCATTCCCGGCTCATTCCCGGTTCATTCCCGGTTGGATCCCCGTTGGATCACGGGCTCATTCCCGGTTCATTCCCGGTTGGATCCTGCCGGGACCGGGCGCTCCCCCCGCCCCGCCCCGTCCCCTCACGCAGGCTCCGCCCCGGCCCCGCTGGCCCCGCCCCAGGCCCCGCCCCGCGCTCCCGCGCTCCCCCAAGATGGCGGCGCCCTTGGCGCTGCAGCTGCAGGAGCTGCTGGACCCCCGGCCCGGGCTGCGGGACCCCGAGGATGATGCGGAGGAAGGTGCGGGAGGACCGGGGCAGGGGGGTTGGCACCGCGGGCGGCGGGGGCGGGAGGGGCCCGGCGGGGACGGCCCGGGCGCTGGCGGAGCGGCCGCACGTGGCGGTGTGGGTGCTCGGGCTCCCGCTGTGCCCCCGGCCCGGGGTGCTCTCAGGGGTCGGGGCTGTGTCGGGGCTCGGGGTTACCTCCGCCATCGAGTTCATCTCGGGGATGGAGCCCCCTGCGGGATCGGGGATGTGTCCAGGAGCGGGGTTCTCGGGGATTGCTGCCACCTGAGGGTTCGGGCCTGTGTTAGGCTTGGCCTGGTTCTTTCCTGCAGTCTGTGTGAGAGCAGTAATGTCTTGTAAGAAACGTCTCAACAACCCCTGAGGGTTATTGAGGTGGTCAGCAGAGGCGTTTTCCCATTTTAGTAATCACAATTTTGTTCCAAACTTCGCAGAACCCCAGAGTGGTTTGGGTGGGAAGGGAGCTCAGAGCCCATCCAGAGCCAGCCCTGCCATGGCAGGGACAACTTCCCCTGTCTCAGGCTGCTCCATCCAGCCTGGCCTTGGGCACTGCCAGGGATCCAGGGAAGGATCTGCTTCTACCCCTCCTGGCCAGCCCCTCCTTGTTGCCCAGCATTTGGGCATCCTCTGCTGGCTGGACTTAGAGCAGGTTTTGTTGCTTTGGTTATGAGCAGGAGATTGTTCTGCCTCTAACAAACACTCCAGGTGAGGCATTAACATTTCCAAACACACGTTGAGAGCACTCAGCGGTTTGATTGCCCGAACAGAGCTAACCCTGTGATTTGGCACCGGATGCCTTGCACATGAATGAAGGTGGGGAGGGAGGATGGTGGGATGTGTTCTCTGGGCTGGACTGCTGTGCTCTGTGTCCTGGGGAAGATGGGGATGAAGGAGGACAATAACCACACGAAATTTATGTATTTGTGTGGCTTGTATATGTAGCAGGAGAGCAAAGTTGGAGTTTTCCTCTTAGTCTGCAAGCATGGAGTGAGTGAAGGCACTGCAGCTTTGCAGAGTCCTCCACACAAAGGACTCAGAGACCTTCCTACATCCTTGGGAGGGCTTGGATGGGCTTAGTCTGTGTTCTGCTTCATGCAGGAACCTTTCCCCCTTGCAGGAATTTTTTTGTGTGCCTTTCCTGCACTTTTCAAAGTTCCTCTTCCCCTGGGCAGCGCACTGTTGTTACAGAGCGTGAGGAGCTTCCCAGGGCTCCTTCCAGACTGGAATTTAGTTCCCTTTCAGACACCACTTCCCTTTTTGTTTCCCCCCTAACACAGCTACAGTTGCTAAAGTGATTGACAGATTTGAGGATGAAACCACGGATGACATTCTGCCTGTTGGCAATATCAGGAAAAGAGCTTCAGCCTCTCTCCTGGAAGCTGATAAGAGGTACAGTGGGAAAGCCACATCTCGGAAAGCTCTGCAGGAAGAGCTCTGGGGAGATGCTCTGTCTGAAGAGGGATCTGGTAAGAAATCTCATTTTTTTCCCCCTTTTTGCTGGCAAACCATGATGTCAGCACATGACTGAGCATGACAAACCTCAGGGCCCTGTTCCAGGGCGAGAACAGCTACAATTAAGTTGGACATCTAACAGCCCAAACCTGAGCTGTTGCTGATGAGTTTTTCTGCTAAGTAAATAACTTTTTTCTCTCCTTTATTAGCTGAAGAAGCATTAGATGACTGGTACAGTGACAGTGAAGGCTCAGAAGAGGAGGACAGTGTTGGCCCAAAGGCCAGGGAGAAGCCCAGCAGTGCTGGCAGTGAGCAGGAGGATGACTTGGAGGATAAGGAAGAGGAGGAGCCGCCTGTCAAGGCCAAGGCACCAAAGTTCAGCTTCCAGAATATCACAGACTTTGAGAAGTTTACAGAGGGGATGGATGATGCAGGGAGCAGTGAAGGGGAGGATGAAGATGAGGATGAGGATAAAGATGATGCTGACATGGAAGAAGGGAGTGAGGAGGAATTTGGGAGTGAAGACCACGATGACGAAAAAGAAACCAAAGACAGCGAAGATGATGGGGGAGTGCTGACCTTCTCCAGAGGACAGGAGTCTGAAGAGGTGGAGAAGGGCAAAGCTGTGAGGAACCAGCTAGGTTTGTGCATGTTTGCTGTGTGTTTGCTGGCACTGTGAAACCAGCCATGCTGGGAAACCCCTCAGCACGGTGAGGTGCTGTCAGCACCCTGCTTGTGCATGCTGCAGCATCCCTGTGTGTGTGCAGATGTTCTGTCTGGTGTCACTGCTGCTGTAGCAGCTCATGATGTGAAGTGTATTTACCCATTAGCTTCACTGAACCAGTGCTGAATATCCTCACAGGACCCTTGGGTTTGGGAACTTCCTGCGCTGGTCCTGCTGTGATCACTTTGTTTCTTTCCAAAACACAACTCCCAAAATGCCATTCCTTCCTGTCTGAGCTGTTAAACTATCAAACCTCCGTTTGCAGGCTGTCCTTTGAAACAGTGGAGCAAAGGGATGGTTTGATCTGTGGGTCACAGAGGTGCAGTTGGGATTTGCTTTGTCCAGAGGCACTTTGTGGCACCCATGTTGTGCTGGTCAGTGCCTGCCCTGAGCAGGAGCGATGCAGCCCAGAGCAGAGGGCCTGAGCTGTCAGGTCCTTCACCAGGAACAAGTGCTTTGTCTTGCTAACTGATTCTTTTATTTCCTTTTTGTTGTGAAGCCCTGTGGGATCAGCTGATGGAAGGGAGGATCAAGATGCAGAAGGTGCTCATGACAGCCAACAGGCTGCCCCAGCCAGACACCTACCCCAGGTTCAGGAAGGAGGGGGGCCAGGACTTTGACAACGCTGTGGAGAACTGTAAGTGATGCCTTGAGAAGGCTGAACTAGAACTGAGTTAAGAGTAAAGTGGGTGTTTATTGAATGGCCTTAAAGGACACACCTTGGACAGTACAAGAGCCTGGCCAGGGCTACACCCAAGATGGACCAGAAATGGTCACAAAATGGACACAACTGGTCATGAGGTCTCACATTTTTATAAGTTTTGGTCCATCTGCATATTTGGGTTAATTGTCCAATTACAGCTTCAGGTTATGAAGTCCACCCTGTTTGTTTTCTCTCTTCAGCCCACCCTTGTTTCTGCTTTTGGGCCTGAAACTTGTCATGATTGTCCTTGGTATCAAGCTAGAAAAGGAATTGTTTTGTCTCCCTACTCTATAAAGGGAGCTCACTGGCACTTAACATGAAGCTCAAAACTACACACCTAGGCAGGGCAGAATCTGAAAAACAGGAAAGCTAAAACTTTAAGGCACCATAAGAGCCTTTTAATCTTTCTCCTTTGCTCAGATTCTTATAAACAATTGCTTATTGCTGTTCAGTGCAGAGCTGGGGTGCTCTGTCCAGAGATACCTTGTACCAATTTTGTGCTGGGCCAGTGAATGCAAAGCTTTGCCCAAAGGAGGAGTAAGGCAGCCCAAAGGAGGAGTAAGGCAGCCCAAAGGAGGGTCTGTGCAGGTGAATTCCAGCATGGGGCTGCTTCATCTGTTTATTCCTGAGATCACTGATCTGATGAGATCTGTAGTAGATTCTCCAATATGAAATCATAATATGCAGGCTCCAGTTGGTAAGTGCAAGGTACTGGGCTTCCAGGTGGTGTGGGTCTGTTCAGTTTTTATATTTGGACACCTTTTTCCTGGCCTTGAGGTGAATGCATGGGGACAGAGATGTGTGGGTCATCAGACATGACCCTGAACCTCGGCCCTGCAGCAAATTTTGGCTGGGATCCTCTGCCTTACCCCTGCCCAGGACAGGGCAGTCAGCCCACCTGCAGCTACAGGTGAGCTGCTTTCTGCTTTAAAGTTGGCTCTGCTGCTTTAAATGAAGTGATTAAGGACAAAAAGGCAAACTCCCACCAATGCTGTGCTGACCTTTCAGTGGAACACACGTTATTAATGTCCCTAATGAGATGCATTACAAACTGCCCTAGCTCCATGTTTCATTACAGGTCTAAGATGCAATATCATTAAAGACCTTTAACAGAAACAATGCTTGACATTTTGATATTTCCCATAAGCAAAATACACCCAAGAACATGGAGTGTAATGTCCCCAGTGCTGCAGAGGCTGATCCCTGACTTGTGCAGAGCTCTGAGGGAAACTTCACTGCTAAGAAGTGCTGAATGATCCCCTCATCACCTGGGCAGGGAGTTGTGGGAGCTCTGATGTTCCTCACAGCTTGGGTTTGTGTTTGTGCTTCATCTGTGGAGACAGAACATAAAGCTGGAGTGACTGTGTTAGCAGAGGAAATCTCAGGCTGACAGATGGGAAATGCTGAATTTAGGAACATCCCACTACTGCTGCTACACTTGTCCGTGATGAGCTTCAGCCTTGGACAGAATTTGGGATCATCATGGCATGGACATTGTTTTGGCCTGGATGATGCTCTCCTTTCAGGGAGGCCCCAGCACTTCTGTCCAAGCCCACAAAATAAATCTGGCATGTTTTCATCATCCTTATTGAACAGGAGGGAACAATTTGGTGTTCCAGTTGCACAAAAGACTTGGTGCCAGAATCCCAGACTCTGGGTGAACCCTGCAGGACGCTGAAGTCACGAGGCTCCCAGTGCTCTCAGAGCTCCTGGACAAGAGTGTTTCCAGTAATTTTTCTCAAATCTTTCCATTTCTCATGAAATTTCTGCTCCATGCTCAGAGGAAGATTGAATTTTTTGAATTGGAAAATGGTCCTTTGTGTATTTTTCTCTTGGGTATCTCCTACTCAGGACAACCCTGCTGTGGTGCTGGAATTCCCTAGGGGCTGGAGTGTAATTGTGTTAAAGAGTAGACAGCAATTCTCCATCCATTTGCAGTTTTAAAGCCAAACCTGGGTGAAAATGGCAAGGTCATGCTCATTTTCCAGGTTTTGAGACCCGAGGTTACAAACCCTAAAGTGTTTAATTTATTATTTTTGTAATCTTTTATGATTTTTTTTTTTAAATGTTACAACGTGCTTTGGACAACCTTAGATTCCTGAGATCTCAGGTTCTGGTAGATGATTTACTGCAAAATTGCTTATAAATTGAAGTAGAAAATGTTTTGCAGACCTGGCAGCTTTCAGGCTTCACACCCATTTGTCACCCAGCATTTCCCTTTGTGTATAGAACAAGAATTAATTAGGCTGCACTGCAGGAAAAGTTTATGGCCATAATTTATATAGGATGAATTTCTGTTTAAAGAGACAGCATTGCTTTGTTTGTGCTGTCTTACTTCTTATTTCCCTTTTTTTTTTTTTAAATCTTTAATTATATTCGAGATTTTTTTCTGTCATCCTTTTTACATACAAATGGGAGACCAAACTGTGGTCCTGGAGCTCATGTTTATTCCTGTTTTACACCCACTGAGAAAGTCTGGATGGTTTTTAGTGCTGAGATCAGAGTGGCTGAGCTCTGAAAGCAGCACAAATGTCCAGTGTTTAATGCCCTGCACACACAAACCCTCCCAGCTCACAATTCCAAGGTGCTGCTGCCTGGACTGGGCTGTTTCTCCAAGACAGATTTGTATTCCCCTGCACTGCATCTTCCAGTCTGGCCCAGGGCTTGAGATGTTGCCTCTGTTTGGGGTCTTGCACGTTCAATTAATGTTTTTCATAATCAATGCGAGTCAGAATTTGCAATCTGCTCCTGATTTGCACATTAAAGAGACCCATTAATTAAAAATTCCAATCCCTGGCATGTTCCCGCAGGATCCCTGCATTATTTACATAGAAAAGGAGTGCAAGGTGCAAGTTTCTGTGCTTTGGCTGTGCACAGATTGCAGGCCTGCCACTCATATTTCCCTGTGCTGGGAGCTTGGAAGGGGATCTCCTGAAATTGTCTCCAAAAATCACCTCAAGGGCAAGGAAGAACCAAAGCAGAGGTGGGATAAACATTGGTGGAGCCACATCCAGTGTCAGGAATCCAACAGTTCCAGGGTTTGGGGCTTGTTGTGTTAAATCTTGATAGAGTGAAAAAAAAACCCCACAAATAATCGAGGGACAAGGAGGTAACAAGGGCTTTAAGGAATTAAATCTCTTCATCCTCAAAGGCCCTGAGCTTCTCAGTACAGGCCTGTAGCTTTTTCTTTCTAATTCTAGGTAAAAATACTAAACTGGGAGCATTTCGGTGACTAATAGTTTATGCTTTTCAAAAAGAGCTGGGAATTGCAGCTTTTAAAGAGCAGATTGTGTTATTTTCACTTTATAATTGGTGAGATGAGTTAAGAATGTACAAAAACCCAGGTGAGGAAGGCTTTTTTGCCAGAAACTGATGGAAATTGCAGGAGTTTAAAGGGGCAAGTGGCTGTGCTTTTCCTTCTGCAAGAGTTCAGGAGGTCCCTGAAATAGAAACTGCTCACTGCATTTTTGTGGGGTTTTGGAGTTTTTTTGGCTTTGACTCCATCTGTCAGTGGATTAAGAGAAAATACCAGAATCCTACATTTCTATTCCTCAGCATAAGCTGCAGATAATTTCAAGAAATAGAGGAAATAGTGGGTTTGGTAGAAGTAGATATGCAGGGTGTGTGGGGATGGATTTGCTCAGTGGAGGAACAAAAGTGGGGACAACAAATATTTACACTTTGGAGAGCTGTGGTGAAGTTTCACCAAGGTTTGTGATTAGTAATAAAATAAACCTGAATAAAGTGAACTAGATAAACAAAAAAAAAAAAAAAAACACAGGGCTTTGTTGCCTTCTGGGAAATGAAGATGTTGAATTTTTGTTCCTAAAATTTTGAGTGACCCAGAAATGGCTGTTTCTGGAGTGGAAATAGGTGGAAATTTGTGGTGGGAGAGAATTGTGCTCCCATCTGGAATAATTCCCTGAGCTGGGCACAGCAGGCTGAGTACCTGGTCCCATGGCAAATTCTGTGACTTGGGACTCAGCAGCACATTTAGACCTCTCTCTCTGGGAGCTTCACACTGGGTATCTTCATTTTCTTCTGGGTTGGTTCTGCAGTATTTTGACATTTGAGAGAAAGATTCTGTTTAGTCTCAGTTAGTGTATTGAGTATGTTCTCAGTGTCTTTTTGATGAGGATTTTTGTTGGGCTCTCTTTATCCCTGTCTTTAAAATAATATTTTTACATCCTCCACAAAATCCAGGTAAGTCATGGTGAAGACACTGATTAAGCAGGGACTGTTTTTGGATAAAATCCAGTCTGCTGTAGGTGCCAGAGAAGCTGTTCCACTTCCTGGGAGAGAGGATGTGCCTGGCAAGGCCTTCCCCTCTCCCCCTCACCTGAACACACCGGGGTAGGGAACAGCTCTCTGATGAAATGGGATTTACTGACACAGGCTTGGAATTTTTAAGGGAAGCCTGCAGGACTCAGCTGCCAAGAACTCCCTGGTAATTTTGTTCTCACCTCTATTCCTGGATAGCTTTTAGAGCTCCAGTATATCCACACCTCCATCTGGAGATGTTAATGCATTCATACAGAGCAGGGTGAGTGTCACAGGGAGGGGGAGGAACTGAGGCACAGGCAGATTACACACTTTCCAGAGGCATAGAGCAGTTACAGGATTAATTGGTGCTAGGCAAGATCATGGACTTAAATATATTCTTGCTTTGAAGATTTTACTGGGAGCCTGCACAAATGTGTGACAGCAGAACTGGGTTTCAAGCCTGAGTGTAAATTATTGTGATCAGATCTAGCCCACTTAAAACTGGTAGTTCATTTTAATTGAATTGTATTAGTCTGGACACTTTATGAATACCAAAAGCATCGGCCCTGTCAATTCCTGCAGGGTTGGTTGTGATTTAAATGAATGTGGATGCAGGTGTCCCCAAATTTCTCCTCTGATCTCATGGAGAATCTGTTCAACTCTTTTTGGGA